TTCCTCCTTTTGGGGTTTTGGGCACACACACGCCCAATGTGGTTTTCCTGCATCTAGTTCCAGAACTCCAACCCATGTTGGCCAAGCAGGATCCAGCTAACTGATCCCAGGCTGCCCCCTCCATTTTCACTTTATAGATGTTCTTATTTCTATTTTGTAAGTGGGAAATGCTCATTTACTTATCCAAGTTCACACAAGTATAGTGAACAGGATGCCCACCTATTTGTTTTTATATAGATCATCACTTGGCAGGGTATTCCTGCTACTTCGCTTAAAGCTCCCTTTGCTTTTAAAACAGGCTGTGTGTTTGTCCAAAGGTTTTGAGTAACTTACTTTGTTCATATAAGAAAAATGATAATTTCTTTGAGTCCCTACTGCGTTTTGTGCTGCTCTTTATAAGCTCATTAAACTGAATCCACACAGCAGTTCCCCAGGAGGTGGTTGGTATTACCTGTTTTTACTAGTAGGGAACTGGCTTAGGAAAGTATCTCTCTAAGGTCACACTGCTGTAAATGCTAGAACTGGAGATTCTAATCTAGGTCTGAGTCAGTTCACAGCTTGTGCTTACTCAGGTGAGCTGGGACCTTACTTAAAGTGGTTAAACAGTTGGGAAAAGCTTAGGAGCAAAGTGTGAATATCCCGGTAGTACAGATCTAAGAGCTTTAACATCCCTATAGTAGTAAGGTTAAGGAAACAAGATGTAACATTTGTGACCCCTTAATAACTGACATGCAGTGGAAGAATGTGGACACATAGATGCATTACAGTCACACAGTGTAACAGGATGCAACCCATCAGGAGTCAGGGAGCATATATGGCTGTGTTTGACTTTTATTAAAACATGTTACACTGAATCTTATTCATGTGTTGAAATATCCTAAAACTTGTAGAAATAAAATTTCACAGCTACCATCTTAGTTCATCAAGAGAAAGATGTGAAATAAAATGTATGTTCATCTAATAGTCTTAGATAAATTTTTTTTTTTAAATTGAGGACTCAGGAACACCAAATGAACTCTTGGCACTTTTTGTTTTAGGTTTCAGTTCTGCAGTCTACAAAGGACTCTTCTAAAAAGATATGTGTTGCCAACACCCATCTCTACTGGCATCCAAAAGGTGGGTTGTACAAGTGACAAGTATAGCAACTTTTAAGGTTGCTTAAACTGTTTTACACAAATATATCTTGAATGTTACCCAGATATAGTAATTTTGAGGGGTTTTTCTTATTTTACTTCTGTTTTAAAAGTACTTCCATTATTGTTTTTTATATTCACAGGTGGGTACATTCGTCTCATTCAAATGGCAACTGCATTGACTCACATTAGACATGTCTCTTGTGATCTGTATCCTGGCATACCGGTTATATTTTGTGGGGACTTTAATAGTACACCGTCAACAGGAATGTATCATTTTGTCATCAATGGCAGCATTCCAGAGGATCATGAAGACTGGGCTTCCAATGGGGAAGAGGAAAGATGCAACATGTCTCTTAGGCATTTCTTCAAACTGAAAAGTGCTTGTGGTGAACCTGCTTACACAAATTACGTTGGTGGCTTTCATGGATGTCTAGATTACATTTTCATTGACTTACATGCTTTAGAGGTTGACCAGGTGATTCCATTACCTAGCCATGAAGAAGTTACCACCCACCAGGCCTTACCTAGTGTTTCCCATCCCTCTGATCACATAGCACTTGTATGTGATTTGAAATGGAAATAGACTTATGTGGAATGGAATTTGTTTTACATCTGAAAGAAAGGTATTGTAGTTACTTTAGTAGATAATTTAATATAATTAGGGGCCATTAGAGGTTGACCAGGTGATTCCATTACCTAGCCATGAAGAAGTTACCACCCACCAGGCCTTACCTAGTGTTTCCCATCCCTCTGATCACATAGCACTTGTATGTGATTTGAAATGGAAATAGACTTATGTGGAATGGAATTTGTTTTAAGTTTGGAAAGGATGGTAGTTACTCTAGCTAATTTTGTATGAATCAGAGCTTAAATGTTACCTTCAAGGAAGAACACACAGTAAGTTAAAATATTCATACCCTACTAGTTATGTTCAGATGATTTCACATAAGATTCTTTATAATGTTTGAATCATAAGGATTTTGTACCCGTTTTTCCCCTACACTTGGAAGTGAAACAAATATATTTAGACTAGGAAGAAGGAAATTTAATTATGTTGTACGTTTTTATACATGATTTTTTTAGTTACTAACTACGGATTTTTAAAATGCCTGTTGAATGACCTTATACTTTTTATTTTACAGTACATTTCTAATTAAATTATCTATATGCAATTAAGGGTAAAATTTATATAAATCAAGATAAAAGACCTATGTTTTGGCACATAGAAAGAATAACATTAGAATCTGCCTTTGTCTCAATTTGGTTAGCACTTTACTAGTCTCAGAGCTTTACAAAAGATTAAAATATGCCATCACTAATTGTTATGGCTTCTCATCCTTTTTAATAAGGAAGGTACGTTCATCTCTCTTTTTTTTTTAGGATTTTAGTGTTTACTACATGGTACAAATAAACATGTTTATTCTTATTGCTGCTCATTTTAATTTTCAGAATACAAGCACAATTTATGACTCAAAGTGAGTAGCAACATATTCAGCCAGTTTCATTATCTTTAATTACTCTTGCCTATGAAAAATGTTCAGGATATTTGAAAAATAGAGTATTTAATCATACAGTATTAGAGAATACAACATAATATATTACTTTATGAGAACTGCCTTCTGATACGGGCTTGAAGTTTTAAGTGAACCATTCAGCATTTCGATGCTGGAAGCATTTTTGAAATTGTCAATTTTTTATACTAGGGGATAATGGGACTTTTAAAAGCATCTCTGAAATAAAGATATTCTTTTTATAGTCTTGAACATTGTACTTGAAGCACACCACTGTATTTATAATTTATATATTGCAAAAGAAAAATATAACACCAAACTCCTTAAAATTAAAAATTATAAGCAGTTTTACCAATTCATGTCTAACCTACAGTGGTAACTGAGATATCCCTCACTATTATCTGTAATGTTTTAGCTGTGGCTTTTTTGATGTTCAGGATAACTGTAATGTTATCTCATATTTCTGCATTTAATTTCTAATTTATGTATTAAAAGTCTACCTACTGGGCTAGCAGGTGGCCTGCATGGTGATTAAGGTGTTAGATCCCACATGGCTGACAACACAGTTTGGACCCAGCAGCTTGAAAAACATGCTGTGTGTACCCAACATACCAAGAGGAGAAAGGATTGTGGTGTGGCACCCCTTCTTCGCCGGGGGGGAAGGGAGTATTTTCACTTTTCCTCTCTTTCTGTCTGTCTTCAGTAAGTACACATGCCATATAGCAAAACAACTTAAAAAAAAAGTCTACTCACCTCAACAATAACTTCGATTTTCTAGTCATGAAGGTCCTTGTTTCAGATTCCTTAATCTCTGAACTCAATACCATAAGAATTGTCCTCTTGGGATCAGCAGATGGTGTAATGGTTACATTGCTAGACTCCCATGTAGTTGACTGTGTTTTGAGTCCTGGACATGGCAGCTTAAAACTCATGTTGGGCGCATGTACATGTATGTGCCCAAAATCCCCAGAGGAGAATGGAGGAGAGGGGATTGTGCTGTGGCCATCCCTCCTAGGGGCTAATTTCTTGTGAGTGCACATACCCTATAGCAAAAATCTCTCAAGAAGAAAACAAAAGAAAAAGGTATAATATAAATCAAAACTTGATGCCACCAAATTGTGCCTTAAATAACATTTTCAGGGAACCAGCAGTTAGCGTAATGGCTATGTCGCTGGACTCCCATGTAGTCGACAGCGGTTCGTGTCCCGGACCCGGTGGCTTAAAACTCACGCCGGGCGCGTGTGCATGCGTGCCCAAGATCCCGAGAGGAGAATGGAGGAGAAGGGATTGCGGCGTGACCACCCCCCCGGGGGGTGATTTCTCGCTTTCTGTCTCTATGTCTCTCTCTGTCTGTCTGGCGAGCGCACGCGCCCTACAGTGAAAAATCTCAAAAAAAAAAATTTTTTTTCACAGCATGTTAGTAAGCATTAACAGACATATCATGCAAGAATCTGGTTCTTTTCTGAAATATTTTTTTCCTTTATAAAATTTGTTTTTGGTAGGGCCATTCAAGTGGTCCAGTGGTTAAGTTGGCAGGATCCCACATGCTGTGCAGTTTGAGTCTTGGACCATTGGCTTGAAAAAAACACATCAGGCATGGCTGCATGAATGATCAAAATCCAGAGGAGAGTGGAGGAGAAGAGATTGCCACGTGGTCATCCCTCCACCCCCAGGGATTTTTTTTCCCCTACTCCCTTCTCCCTCCAACAAAAACTTAAAAAAAATTGTTTTTGTTCTGTTGTCAGGCAAATACATTGACTTGGACCCTTAGAGTAGTAACTTGAGAGGAAACAAAGCTCAGCAAACATTTGAGAAACATTTGAAAACAAAAATTGTAATGCAACATAATTAGTAATCATTAGGAAAGATGCATACAAATTATATATTTAACACCAAGGCTGTAACTAGATTGGACTCTAGTTGGGAAAAGCGAGCACTTAACAAACATTCCGTGTCCTAAATCCTTAAATTTGGCATTTCTTAATTAAATAATATAATCAGATTACATACAAGCATTTCAGAATATTAAACTATGGAATATTATTGTGAAATGCAGTATATTCTGACTGAATCTCCACTACACATATATTAGGACATTGGGAAAGTCATGATGTATTTTTCTATGCAGAAATGAGTCATGACTTTCCAGACAATCCAATAGTTTTCTGGAGAACACGAAGAAATGTTATAGATAACATACTCAAGTTAAGTTAGAATGAACTTTTTTTTTTGAGAGGTTTTTGCTATAGGGCGTGTGCGCTTGCCAGAAAGAGAGGAACAGAGAGACAGAAAGCGAGAAATCACCCCCCAGGGGGATGGCCACGCTGCAACCCCTTCTCCATTCTTCTCTCGGGATCTTGGGCACGCACGCACACGTGCCCGGCGTGAGTTTAAGCCACTGGGTCTGGGAGTCAAACCGTAGTCAGTCGACTACATGGGAGTCCAGTGACATAGCCATTACACTAAATGCTGGTCCCAAGTTAAAATAAACTTTTATTCAGATACATTTAAGTGTTGGGGCTGGCAGATGCCATGGTGGAATAGGTGCTAGACTCCCACATGGCCAAATATGGTTCAAGTCCTGGACCTGGTGGCTTGAAAATCACATAGGGCATGTGTACGTGCATGCCCAAGATCTTGGGAGGAGACTAGACAAGGGGCTGCGGTATGGTCCTCTCCCTTGGGGGGGGGTGATTTCTTACCCCCAAACCCCCTCTCTAGTGAACACATGCTCCGTATAGCAAAAAACTAAAAAAAAGGGGCCAGAAGATATTATAGCATTTAGGTCGCTGGACTCTCGCATGGACTACCATGATTCAAGTCCTGGACCATTTGGCCTGAAAATCACACTATGTGTGTGTGTGCTGAAGATCCCAGAAGAATGGTGGAGAACGGGTTGCAGCGTGGACATCCCCCCAGGGAGATTTCTTTCTTTCCCTCTCACTGTCTCTTTCTCTGGCAAGTGCACACACCCCAGGGCAAAAACCTCTAAAAGAAAAAAAAACTTAAAACATGTTCTATATATATGTATATATATGTATGTATATAAAATATACACACACACATATATATATATATATATGTATGTATATATATATATATATAAATAAAGTCCAACAACTTTTTTTTTTAAAAGAGATTTTTGCTATAGGGTTCATGCACTTGCCAGATAGACAGAAAATCATCCCTAGGAGCCAGGGGGAGGAGGTGGGGGGGGAATTGCCACACTGCAATCTCCTCCATTTTCCTCTCAGAATTCTGGGCACACTCACACATGTGCCTGGTTGTGAGTTTCAAGCCTTTTAAGGATTATAATAAATTCTTATTTAATTTTATTTATTATTACTATTATTTTTTTTAATTTGCTATAGGGCTATGTGCTCACCAGAGACAAAGTGAGAAAGCAGACACCAGTTCTGGGACTTGAACCATGTTTGCCCACGGAAGTTTAGCATCTCAACCACCATGCTATCTCTGGCCCCAGGCACTTGCTTTACATGAGAAGTTAGAAGTCACTTTTAAACCTCCACAACAAAACCAGAAATTATACATTTAAGCAAGTCTGATGCCAGTGACCTGAAAGTTGCTATTACTACATATGAAATAAGTCTGTACATATGTTGAAGTAAACTTACAATCTCTGAGTAACACAGTAATACTCTGGGGCAATGTTTCTCATTTAAGTTTAATTTTTTTTATTTTAGATTTTTTTTTTTTTTTGGGGGGATTTTTGCTCAACGGGGGTTGAGATTTTTGCTATAGGGCGTGTGTGCTCACCAGACAGACAGAGAGAGACATAGAGACAGAAAGTGAGAAATCATCCCCCAGGGGGATGGTCACTCCGCAATCCCTTCTCCTCCATTCTCCTCTCGGGATCTTGGGCACACACGCACATGCACCCGGCGTGAGTTTTAAGCCACTGGGTTCAGGACCTGAACCGCGGTCGACTGCGTGGGCGTCCAGCGACATAGCCATTACGCTAACTGCTGCTTCCCGATTTTAGATTTTTGCTATAGGGTACATGCACCTGTGAGAAAGAGAAAGTGAGGATTCACCACTCCTGAGGGGATGGCCATGCCACAATTCCTTTTCCTCCAATCTTCTCTTGGGATTTTGGGCATTTATGCACACACACCCAGGATGTTTTTCAAGCCACTGGGTACAGGATATGAGCTGCAGAGTCAGCCGTGTGGGATCCAGGACCTTAACCACTATACCATCTGTTGGCCCAAGTTTAATTTTTAATAGTATATAAGGTAAAGGAGGAAAACCCATGGAAACTGAAAATACCAAGACATATAATAGAAAAGCAGCTACTAAGTGAGACAAAAGACAATAGGGAATATTATGGGCCAAAAAAACCAGGGTAGAGAACAGATAATGGTACTTCCTCAACTCTGATACTAATGGTGAGCCTTCCTAGCAATCACAATTCCTTTTCAATTTCTCTATTAGTATATTTGATAATTTGACAGAATGCTTTTTAATCTAGGAATATAACAAACTGCTCTATGTAATATGAGAGGTCACCGAGGCCTCACTGATTAACACTAAGTTTAGGTGAGTAAGAGTAAGCATCAAATCTTGATAGTGACAAGTATTTCACAAATGAGTACTGCACATTTCAATAAATTAGGAAAGTGACAGGGATTTTATAAGTTTGCAGAAAATGGAGGAAAGTCATCCTATGGGCTTTCTCTCAATACTTTTTCCCCAAAGCACTCATAGCTTGTTTGGGGGGGGAGGAGAACTTTTCAAGTTGATTTTTTTTAATTAGAGGTTTTTGCCTTAGGGCAGGTGTGCTTGCCAGAGAGAGAAGACAGAGGGAAAGTGAAAAATCAACCCCCAGGAGGGATGGCCACCCCACAATTCCTCCTCCTCCGTTCTCCCAGGATCCTGGGCACGCATGCACATGTGCCCAGCGTGAGTTTGAAGCTACCAGGTCTGAGACTCAAACCACGGTCGGTCATGTAGGGTCTAGCGATGTAATTGCTACCCCATCTGCTGGTCCCTCAATTTGATCTTTAAAATATAAATACAAGGGCTAAAGAAAAGTAAGCTCTGGGATGATAAAAAACACCTGCCAAGGTTAACATGCTTACTATTATTGTTGGGGCGGGGAGATTTTTGCTCTTGGGCACGTGCACTTGCCAGAAAGATAGAAACAGAGAGACAGAAAGCGAGAAATCGCTTGCCAGGGGGTATGGCCACACTGCAATCCCTTCTCCTCCATTCTCTTCATGGGATCTTGGACACACA